CAGGTTAAAAAACATCTCTCTCTCCTTTTTTTTCCAAATATTGAAATGCAATAGCTTCTATGAATGATTGACATCATATTATACAGTAACTATAAAAAGTAAGTGGTTATCAACTACAACAGATTTAAAAATACAAAAGAGCTATAGACTTTTCTAATACAATTATTGTGCATGTAAAGATTTCTTGGCTGTGGTGAAGATAAGATAATGATAGTACAAACAAATAAAATAAGTTTGTTACTACACTGGTAAACAGCAAAGCACCTATTGTTTACACAATTCATCAGCAAGTTTCTTTTTCATATCTAGCCTGTGAAAAAAAAAAGAAAAAAATTTGGAAGTAGCCTAAGTAGCCATATCTGGTTACAGCATTTTTAGCCTATCATCAATATATGCATGTACAGAACTGCAACAAATACTGTTTGATAAATTTGTTACCCTAAGTGCATGGGTGAAGGTCAAAGTGTGCATGTCCTGACCTTGTACAGATTACCATTCAACATAGTAGTACACATTTGATGTCAGAGTTACCATGATTAACATTTCATATTACTCTACATTACTGATATCACTGAAGTTTATGTTAGAGAAAATAACAGATACAATATATAGCAATAATAAAAAACTAAATATAAATTTAGAAGTGGAGGTTATACAAACTATACAACAAAAGTATTTTTTGAAAACGTTTTTCATTGTACAAAACTTGAAGATAGCTTTGATATATGGAAACATCTGTTAGCTGAGTTCTTGCACAGATCTTAAAATATAACATTGATAAATAGAAATATTGGCTCGTGTAGATACGTAGATCTTGAAAGTAAAGTTGTTCAAAACTTGAAAATAGCGTTGATAACTGGATCAATTGTTGGTTGAGATGTTGCAATGGAAATATCTGCTGAAGCTTTTTGCCAGACCCTAATCATAGCAGAACCGTCTGGAAAATGATATATAGGAAATAAAACAGCTTATAAAATGAGTCAGATCAACGTAGGCCAGTAAGGCAATCACTGATTGGAGTGTCCTTTAGCCAATCAGGAAATGTCACAGACCTACTGAAGGATGTGTAGATTGTATAGGAATTCTTTTTGGTGGACAGGTTTATGTGTTTTAACAAAGGTGGCTTCCAAAATAGAGATGAAAGATCAACTGACCATTTGCAATAATTTCAAACATGCTATCCGTGTACTTGTCAGCACAAGTCAGGTTCACTAGTAAATGCTGGCCAATTGCCGATTCACATTTTGGAGGTAGAAATTTTGTTTTACAGGAACGACATGGTAAATTCTTTACTTTCACACTCTTAGTTCTTATGGATGCGAGTACATGGTATTTAATTCTATCCTGCAATTTTTGTGAAGTGCGACCTACCATTCGCAGTGGCATGAGAATTCATAAATAACCACACTTTTCTGTGTGGTAGGTATCGCAACTTTGTGTGTTGCAGGCAACAACTTACGTGTGGAATAAGCACAGTAGGGGTTCACTGCAGAAAAACATTTTGTGATGGCCATTTTCAATTGTTTTTCAAACTTTGTTGAAATGTTACCAATCCATGGTAACTTTCAAGATCTACGTATAAACATGAGTCGATGTTTTCATTTATGAACGTTATATTTTAAGATCTGTGCAAGAACTCAGCTAACAGATGTTTCCATATATCAAAGCTATCTAAAAGTATTTTTATTCTTCATGGGAACACCACCTTGCATTCTGACTTGTCATAGTTTGAGTCAGACTGACTTTGACATTTCACACACACATTTTTAGTACAAAACCTTTAGTAACACATCTTATTTTTTTGTGTATAAAAAACTTGTACTGTTGACTAAAAGTTTGCCACACTCTGTGAAGAAACACTTTGTAAATTTGGAATTAGGGTTAACATAACTTCTCCAATATAGGGTTAGTCCATTGGACTGACTGTGCACATTCAGGTAATATAATTTCTGACATAAGTACATGAATGTAATTCTAAATAAAACCTAACTTAATGTTCAATCAAAAAAAAATTCAAAATTTTATCAACATATATTCTTTTTTTCTTTAAGCTAATCTTTCCATAAGAAATCTCAAAACGTCAAATTACATTTATACCTTACAAACAACTTAATAAGACAAAAAACTAAATGTTGATTAAGAAGAAGAAAACTTTGGGTACAATAAAAATCTATCAAGCCAACCATGATAACCAATTGTAAAAAGGAACCAACCCAAACTAGATGTAGCCCTTTGCATCCATATACCTATCAATCAAAAATTATGGTAGCATGTCATGATTTTTAATTGTTTTCTCAACTTGCAATCCCTCTTAACAGAGAACTTTTCAAAAGGAACTGAAAACCTTGTGGGACAATAAAAACTTCATATTTCAATGTGGTGTTCAGCCTGTAAATTTTCTTGTACGATAACACATACTCATCTTTAAACAACGTTAAAAAAATAAGTGTTTTCAATATAAAATAAAATACAATACTGAATTTACAGTCTTGATTGTCTTCAAAATATTTAATGATGGGGTACAAAATGTCACTGAAAATATCCTGGCTTAGGTTGATCACTGGATAAATAACAGGTGACATAATTAGGTAAATGCTAATAGGCTGTCTTTAATGGCAAACATTTGATTATATCAGGCACAATGCTTAGGTTTATGACATTCACTCTATTATATTATTGCTGATTGGACTAGTATAAGAGTTCATTAATCAATTCTGGGCAATAATTGATGAAAAACTTAGGCTAGAAATGTTAATTATTTTTGAAGAGTTTCTACAGAAAGTCTTTTTCTACAATTGCAGTTGTATCTGCGACTTTTTTAAACGTTACTGTCAAACACAGTAGCTATCCAAATCAATGAGGTAAATAATGAACAAAGACCCTATAACAGATCCACGAGGGACACCACTACCGTCAATGGTTCTAACACTGAGAGGTTTTCAAATATCGTGCTTCAGCTCACAATAACCATTCTTCATTTTGAAAGATCATATGAAGTTTTGTTTTCAACAAAATTATCTTTTGATTAGTTATAATCTTGTTAAGTGGTTTTATTGATAAGTGGAAAGTTTAATTCTTTCAATGTACATGGATGTAAATTATTAATTTAATTTGGTCTTGGTATTTTGGTTGGTGGCCTTATTGGACCATATGAAATACTGTCATCTTGCTTTTATTATTTGTTTAAAAATCAGTGTAAGTTTCAAGAAAAGTAGAAAGCAGAATTCTTGAAAGAAATGAAAAAAATTATATATATATATATTTTGTTAAACAAGACCGATGTCTGTAGGTTTATTGTCTTCTTAAAATTCTTCCCAAGAAGTCGAAAAGCCGTCTTAACGTTGTTAAAACAACGTTAAGACGG